TTTGGTATTGGTCCTCGCAACTGTATTGGGATGCGGTTTGCACACATGGAGATTAAGTTGGTGTTGGTGAGATTGCTCAAGAAGTACTCGTTTGTCAAGACGGCCGAAACAAAGCCACCAAAACTGGAAGTCAAACAAACTTTAACTGCATCAGGAGTGAAACTTGGAGTTGTGAAACGATAGGACACAAGCTAAATTAACTGTACTGCACACTTTGAAAATCTAGTTAATAAATGGCAGAATTTATTTGTCAGCCGGCCACTGTCTATGCATGTATATTCATCACTGTCAATCATTTTATTACTATTTGTAATGGTKTTTAGAAKCAAATATTAAAAAGRGTAAAACTTCAAATATTTACGTRTGGTTTCGCCTCGTTTTCCTCATCGATGCTGATATAAATACGCATTTACGACATTTCCGGCTCCATATAATTTTAAACTTTTTGACAATCCACGCGTTCGATGGCGTGATGACGACGTCAGAGCGCTCCTTTTTCTGTTTGGCGCGTTTGATAAATCACGTGTTATTATAAAAGTAAATTTCCATTTTTCGATAACAATGATACCAAATAATGACCACGTTGGGAGAAAATGTAAGTCTTAGTTCCGTTGTACCACCATTGGAAACCTATCGAACACCTTTTTCTAGAGCGTTTACAAATTTAACACAGCAAAACTTTCCCARTTTACTATACATGCAAGTAGTTGTTCGTTTTAATACATGTACCCTGTTAGATTACCGTGACTACAATGGTTGCTTCCCAGGTCACCTCCATGCAAACCTCATAACGGAATATATTTGCAAAGCGGCTTCAATGTTTGTTTGTAACAATAATGACGTAGAAGTCACACCGTGGAAGTCACGCCATCCGAATCCCATATAAATCGCTGGCAGCGCGCTTGGTATCTATAAAGGAAAGAAGCCATTAAACACAATGGACATTTACTCGTCTTCTCTGGAGTTTATCAAAACCCACTGGAGTACATGTGCTATCGGTGCTGTGGTACTGATTTTCGTCTACTGGTACGGAACGAGAAGTCGTTCTCGTCTTGAAAAAACATTCCCGGGAATCCCAGGTCCAAAGCAATGGCCCTTCATTGGAAGTCTACCAGATGTGATACGAAGCGGCGGTCAAATGCACTTGCAATTCGACAATGACTACAAGAAATTTGGGAAAGTATATCGTACTATGTTTTTTGGTAGCCCGTCGCTTGTTGTCAGCGACCCAGCGATGATCAAAGATATATTTGTGAAGTACTTTGACTGCTTTCATGACAGACCGGTAAGTTTCGTTATTAATACTTGTTTAAGGTGTGAAGATTTAATTTTCTAGTAAAGAGAGTATGCAATAGATTTGTTTACTACAGTTTTTACAATTGTACAAAAAGCTATTTTCAAATTCACGTCACCTGCTATTTAAGGACAGTCACATGAAWATCACGCAATTGATTMGAAACAGATTTCCTGCGATCTTATTGGCTAAAAAATATGATGACATCATGGCGGTTGCGCATCAGCTGTTACAACCATCAGATTGACTACGAATAATATTAGAAATTTCATTGACTGCCTTACAAAGTGCTGTCAGTAATAAATTGTAGTCCTCGAATCTTAATCAACTCTTCATAAACACGATTTCAATTTCATATACTCGTAGTCAATTATGAAGCTAAGGTCAAGCACTACTATCAAGAGCGAGGTCTCTATCAGACGGAGGGAACGAGGTATTCGACCAGCACCCCTTTTAGGATCCGTCTTCAAATAGTACTCAAGATAAAAAGATTTAGAAGAAATAGGAAATAATTTAGAATATCTATAGTTTTTGCAGAAAACTTTGGTGTGGTGATAGAACAGAAGACAATCATTTTTCACGAAACGTAACAAACGTCCCATTTAACAACCGAATGGTCTGGTCGACTAGCTAAGTTTGCAAGTGAACTAAATAAAAAAGTGATCCCTGTTTTTTTTTAGTCTCTAGCTTCTACCCCAGAACCTTTTGATAAGGGACTATTTGATGTCAAAGGCGAAAAATGGAAGCGCATCCGTACCATTGCATCACCCTCTTTCAGTTCCCATAAGTTGAAGGGCATGGTTCCATTGATGAATGTTAGATGTGATAC